AAAAGACTCTCAACTTACCATGAGCTATCAAACAGAATATTTATGAAAGACTCTCAACTTACCATGAGCTATCAAACAGAACATTTGTGAAAGACTCTCAACTCACCATGAGCTATCAAACAGAACATTTGTGAAAGACTCTCAAGTTACCATGAGCTATCAAACAGAACATTTGTAAAAGACTTTCAACTTACCATGAGCTATCAAACAGAACATTTGTAAAATAACTGTTTGATAGCTCATGGTAAGTTGAGATTTCACAAATGTTCTGTTTGATAGCTCATGGTAAGTTGAGAGTCTTTCACAAATGTTCTGTTTGATAGCTCATGGTAAGTTGAGAGTCTTTCACAAATGTTTAGTCTCAACTTACCATGAGCTATCAAACAGAACATTTGTGAAATAGTCTCAACTTACCATGAGCTATCAAACAGAACATTTCTTCCATCGAACGAATAAACACGTGGAGAATGAGCAAAGAAAGCTCCATCACCAGTAAATAAGTCTTTCCAAGAATTGAACAACACTTCTTCCTAAAAGATAAGTAGAATCAATGTTTTACAAAAAAGTACTATGTTAGCTTTTATAATTAAACATAAAAGATTGTTACTGTTGACTAATTTCAGTGGTCATGTGACTCGGCAAAAAAGAAGCAAATAATAGTGTTAATGTGGTTGAGAATGATTGATTTAAGTATTGTTGTTTTTTTCTAAATCAGAAATTGCGATGATTCCTTGGTATTATTGTAAGTTATATTTTTAATCTACACATTTCCAGGCCTCTGTATTGTTGTTTGGCCAGAGGGAGATTTAAAATGGCCTAATTGCAAGAATTACTGAACTAGAACTACTGAAGAGCTATCTGAACTAGCTGCCCCTAATTCTGAACTGATACATTAGAGGAAAGGCAGATAGCCACAGCACCTACCGCCAACTCTTGCCTGACCAAACAGTGGGATTTGACCATCACCCAATCTCATGCACCCATGGCTTCAAAGTGAGGAGTGAGAATTTTTCTTTTTGGTAACATTTTGGGCCCTGACAAATGAATTAAACAATAATTTTTGTACTGATCACTATAAAATGTTGGCCATCAAGGATGTAGACAATGTTTTACAGGTATACAGAAGGAACGAGGCTTGCGAACAGTTTCAACAAATGACCAGTAAGTGAATCCCTCTATTGTCAAACAATGATTTATAGGAATACAGAAGAAACGAGGCTTGCGAACAGTTTCAACAAATAATCAGTAAGTGGATCCCACTATTGTCAGACAATGTTTTACAGAAATACAGAAGGAACGAGGCTTACGAACAGTTTCAACAAATGACCAGTAAGTGGATCCCTCTATTGTCAGACAGTGTTTTACAGGAATACAGAAAGAACGAGGCTTGCGAACAGTTTCAACAAATAATCAGTAAGTGGATCCCTCTATTGTCAAACAATATTTTACAGGAATACAGAAAGAACGAGGCTGGCGAACAGTTTCAACAAATGACCAGTAAGTGAGTCCTTCTATTGTCAGTTATTTGCTGGAAACTTTTTTCCATGTTTTATACAAACAATTTACAAATGGCTCCCTCTGGTGGCCATACTTTTCTGCTCTAATTTTCTCCCTATTCTGTCATGTCTATTTTTAAAGGATTCTTTATCCTACAGTAATACATGTTCAGGTTTGACGCTAGAATTCTTGACGTTATAAATCATTCTGTCCATTTAGAATAACATCAAAGTCAAGTTTTTACTTTTAAATAAATTATAGTATACAAGCTGATAACAGTATTTTTTTTTACTTGTAATTAATTGAACTACCAATTATAATGAATTATAGTGTGAACAATACCTAATTTTCTGCCATTGTACTTCACAGTATTTTAATAAAGTTTGAAAATACTGATGTAAGTGTTGCGATCATGTTGGCTTACCTTGATATTGACAACAGGCAACTTCTGGTCCTTGTAATAGACAATGCTTTTTAAGTCTTGAACTTTTGAAGTTAAGAGAGCTCTGAAGGTGCCACGTAAGTTGGCTTGTCTGGCTTGACGGTAACACTTATAATCCACTCCTCTCACTCCTTGCATCCCTCCATTCATTGGTTGATTTAAAGCTGCAATTCTAAGCTAAAGTTTATAAAACCATTATTACAGTTTTGTTTTACAAGTCTTATTATAAAAGAATTTTCTGTCAGACTAAAAATTAGTTATTCTACATTTTTTAATTGTGAAAAAAGAACTGTCTGTGAGAGAGAAGGAATTATCGTTATTTTATCTCACAGAACGTTTTTACCATTTTTTTCTGATATCTCTCTTACATTTTTTAAATATTATGGGAAAATGAAAAACCAATTTTGGAGAATACGTTTTATTCATCTTCTTAGTGGTCCTAATTTCTCAATAACTCGTCTTTTTGGCCTTACTTTTATAATTTTTCTTTCCACTTGCAGCAACTATCCTCTGCAGTTGATCATAGAATTTGGGAACTGGTACACTAATATCTCCTTATATAAAGCCAAATTATACTGTGTCCATCAACGATATGAGACAAATAATGACTAGAATCTGCCTTGGACACTCCAGACATCTGAACTTATTCTAACTGATTTTTTAAGGAATGTTTTTCAATGCTAGATGAGAAACAGACACAAAAACCCTACTACAGTGCCATGTAACATTAACATAAACACCTCCAAAACTATTTATACAGACTGAAACACCCAGTATTCCTCCCCATCTTTTATAGATCACCAGTCTGCACTGTGAAACTCAGAAGGAGTGGACAATATTATTCTGTAGAGAGGAGATGTGCATAGAGATGGTTGCAGGCATATACTTATTGTGAAGTATCGTCAGAAGCATCTGACTGGTGAACGAGGTTGACTTGGCCATCCATCGACTGTCAAACAAACACTTGTTCCAACCCATGATAAAGCTTTGCGACACATCGCCAGCTCCTACAACACGAGACAACGTACAGCACAAAGGGTTCTGCATAGGTCAGGCTACACTGGGCACGAGGATCGATGGAAACACTGCTCACTCACCCATGAAAATGTACAGTGCAGAAAACAGTGGGCCCAGAAGATGTTATACAATTTGGATGTGTTATTCCGTTCTGAGATAAGTCCTGATTCAAACAATGTAATTTGAATAGACACATTTGGGTATGGAGGAGTGCTGGAGATCTTTGGCAAAAGAGACATGGTCTGGGGCACCATTTGGTACAATGAAAAGACCAAGTTGGCATTCCTTAAGAGACATTTCAATTAGATATATTACATTGCTATCCTTCAGAACCAATTCTCATACCATTACTTCACCAGTGTGTTGTCAAGTTTACATTACATCACATGTAGGGAAATTACAACACATACCAGAATCGATCACCACTACTTGCAACAGAGAAGAGAGGCTACAGCTCCTTCCCTGGATTCCTCAGAGTTCTATCATTAATCCTATCAAACATATTTGGGAACACCTTGATAAACAATTGCAAAAACTCAACTACTATTGCCTGCCAATGAGAATTAGCTGTATCATCCAAAACTCACGGAACTATGGTAAAATCTGGATCACTGATTCTGTGCCTGTACAAGTTCAGGCTCTGAATGTCTCAGAAGGTCAAGTTACCTGATGGTTGAAACAATAAAGGAAAAGTAATGTATCACATACTTGTAACTGGAACATTTGCTAAATTAGTTTAAAATCAAATTAAAGGTCCAAAGAAAATCAAATTTAATCTCATATTGATAACTTTTTTTTTGTCAGGTATTTATTTTGTGATATAATACTCTGAGTAAAATACAAAGTAATTTAACAACTACAAGACAATATGCTACATATATAATTAAGATGAAATGAGGATCAATAAACACTAACAACAGAATTATAAAAAACAAAATTATAGGACACTCTGTAAGTACAGAAAATGTACTCCTTACCCTTCCACTATTTTCAAGCACTAAGTTGTATGTAGACCTTGGTCCAGGTTTCTTCGTAGTTGTAGTCTGTATGTGAAGAAAACAGCTAGTCAATATTCTAAACATTCTGATCACATTTCACTGTCCAAACATTAAAATATCAATATCATATTACCTAAGTATTCTATTTTACAATCAAATCTTAAGTTCGCCTTTAACTCATTTGTATTTGGGTCAGGTGATGAGATACTGTAAAAATCTGAAACAGTTCGAAAGCCATCTGCATTGATCACTCGTGCCTGAAATCTATTTTTACTAACAACAGTACAACCAGGGCTTCAAGTTTCAAACTCACTCTCTTCATCTGGATTACTTCAAGTTTCAAACTGACACTCTTCTTCTGAATTACTTTAAGTTTCAAGCTCACTCTCTTCATCTGGATTACTTCAAGTTTCAAACTGACACTCTTCATCTGGATTACTTCAAGTTTCAAACTCACTCTCTTCATCTGGATTACTTCAAGTTTCAAACTGACACTCTTCTTCTGAATTACTTCAAGTTTCAAACTGACACTCTTCATCTGGATTACTTCAAGTTTCAAACTGACACTCTTCAGTACATCAAGTCATTCAGTTAGATCAATACGTATGATTGAGACTGGTCAGGGCAAAACATCCATTGAAGCTAGTGAAGAGAATATGTATTAATACAGATGAAGAGTGTCAGCTTGAAACTTAAAGTAATCCAGATGAAGAGTGTCAGCTTGAAACTTAAAGTAATCCAGATGAAGAGTGTCAGCTTGAAACTTAAAGTAATCCAGATGAAGAGTGTGAGCTTGAAACTTAAAGTAATCCAGATGAAGAGAGTGAGCTTGAAACTTGAAGTAATCCAGATGAAGAGTGTCAGTTTGAAACTTGAAGTAATCCAGATGAAGAGTGTCAGTTTGAAACTTAACATAATCCAGATGAAGAGTGTCAGTTTGAAACTTGAAGTAATCCAGATACATTGCTTTCACTGTAATTTATTTTTTTATTATTTAGGGATCATTATAAATGGTTATGTCTTTAAAAGAAAAAAAACTACTATTGTTATAAATAACACATTCAATTGAACTAAACTATGCATGCCTATTTAAATATATTTACACATGTCTTGTGTATATCGTATATATACATATATATATTATTCATACCTTCGTTGTATAGGATGCAAGCAGATTTTGACATCAAATTTTGGGGTAAAAGTGCATCTTATACACCAAAATATATGGTAATATGTTGACATAATTTACATATGAAATTGTATGATTCAAAATAAGAAAATACCGTAAATCAAAAAAAGGTTTACTGTTATTTAGTTTGGTTCAAAACCTACAAAAAAATAACAGTAAACCTCTATTTGATTTACGGTATTTTCTTATTTTGATGTTTTGAGCTCTTTTGTGTTTAGAACAATATATATATATTAATTTTTAAAGTATCAAATTGAATTTTTGTTTAATAAAAATCTTTCAAATGCGACTGTAGCTTTTTTCCCCAAAACTTTGTCTTCAAAATAAGGGTGCGTCTTATATTCTGAAAAATACGGTAAACTGCTTTTCAGGCTCAAATTATCAAGAAATATAAAACGTTCTTGGTGGAATTTTCAATCTTCGTTGTCGTGTTTACATAGCGTTCTCGAGAAACTAGCGTTTTAGTGTCTTTAAATAAAAATAAAAATCCGTAGTAGTGTTATACAGACACACAGTCACTAGTCTTAATCCTCCTCTCCCCATGATTATTTATTTAAAAAGAAAGTAAAATATACTAGACTATTTTCAAATGTATCTGATAAAAACAAACTACTTAGTGAAAGAATAGTAGCAATAATGTAGTTGACGGAACTTCTCATAGGTATGGTTATTACATTAAACAGCTATCTAAATATTGATTTGTTAATATTTGTTATTACTAGTGCGGGATATTTATTAGTGGTTAGTTTATATCTTCATTTCTCGGCGGATTAACTTGAAACTTGGTACGGTTATACCTTGATCCAATACCTCCAGACTAATTTTTCTTTTCTGTTTTTATTTGTGCCTTTTTAAGGATTTTACGGAGTCAGAGGTCAAAAAACCCTGTGCGGTCATATTTATAGCAATCAAGGTGAAAATTAGCACAAATATAAATTTTCATGCACCCAACACACTGACATACAAAAATGTTGGACTTGCCCATTTTTTAGTCTTTTTAGGGGGAGGGGGGCAAACTCACCAAAAAGCATAATTTTGGGGGTTTTGGTCAATTACTCGGCCGTATTTTGACAATTTACACGCGATTTGGTACAAAGATATTTTTTTACAGGTCTCACACATTGAGAAAAAATGGTGTATTTGCTTATATTTAATAATTACAAGGGGATCAAGGTGCCACAAAAAGCATGATTTTAGGGTTTTTTGACAATTACTTCGTCGAATTTGGGCCAACTTACATGGGATTTAGTACAAAGATACTATTTTACAGGGCCCATACATAAACATACAAAAAATGTAGGATATGCCCATTTATGCTAATTTAAGTTTGATCATGAATCCTTCTTTCTTCTTCTTCTGGTAGGCTATAAGTTGCGTCTTTTGTGATTGCAACTATATTTTGGATTGGTATTCAGTGGTGCTAGGGTGAAGCTAGTTCTTTATTTTGTTAATACCATAGAACTCAACAAAATCAGGGAGCCTATCTTGAAGACATCCCCAAAAAATTAGTCAAATTGTGTAAGTCCCAATAGGGTTAGTCTGGACAAATGGATAGCAAATCTGGTTCTCTCGAAATAGAAGACTAAGGTTTGAAACATAGGGTAGAAACTATACTTTGTTTATAGAGACTACTAAAAACGTAATTAGTTAGTAATCAAATTTATCTGATCATATAGACTATTAACCACGACAACAACGTCGTTATCCAGTCAATCAGTATATACAGTACTTTTAGCAAAGACATTTCCGGATCAGAAGGTTCTTGTTTTGTTTTACACCGTGAATTAGTACACACACAAAAACACTGCTTTTACCAGTTATTTTCTAGTGTCGTCGAGACATTCGATTATTATCACTAGCGAAGTCTGTAAATAATGCACGTAAGCACTTTGTTTAACTTTAATAGCAACATATAGAATCAGAGTTCAGTCTTAAAGAGTCATTAATGCTATTTTTTTGTCGGTCATATGTCATTTGTTCGTCATTGGAAAATGCTCTATACAGAATGTTAGTCAATTCGCAAGTCAGGTGCGCGTATATTAAATTAAAATGTGCAGTACCTGTCGAAATATATCATAACTAGTGTTCTTGGTAGGTTGGTAATAAGTACGTGATACGTTTTTTTTTCATGTTCCTTTCTTGATTATACTTTTGAACTACTTAGAAAATGAACATTTCTCTATCTCTAAGGTAATTACCTTGGTTACTAGTTCTAACAAATCTGAATAAAAATTATTCATGATGTAACCACGTCTTTTCCGCTTGAGTAGATAGATCACTATTCGCCACCTCGTGACGTTCTCGGGGTAGTACGACTTCCTAGTCCACATGTGCAGTTATAATTGCAACATAAACAATATTGTGTATAATTTACGCTTAGTCGTAACTTTAACTTTATAAAAAAATTAACTCCGCTAAGCGGTTTAACGTCTTTTTTTTTTTGCGACACATATGATCAGACCGATTCTCCTGTGTCTCGATCTTGCAAGTTTTAAATGTAAACGTGTTTTAAGGCTAAATCTATATCGTATCACAGAACTAGCTTTAATTTTACATAAACTCTTCCATAAGTTGTAGTACCTAATGTTTAAAAAAACAACAACATGTTTCCATTAAAACTAACAGGTCAACAAATTCTATCTCAAAAGAAATTTTATATTCATAGAATGGATATTGAAAGTAAACTCCAAACGTTCTTGTGAAATACCAGTTTATATTAACAGTATGTTAAATGATCGTTACTTTCAATTAGACCTTTAGTGAAGTGACCAACAGTTACAAATACTCACTCAGACGGAAATGTTTAATATCCTTGTCATGTGTTTAAGAGGGCCTAAGACTCTAATAAAAGAAGTTACGTAACAGGCCATGTAAACAGTACAACGAATCAATCTTAAATGTAAATACTGATAATACGATTAAGTAATCTTAAATCTAAACTAATAATAAACAGCAGAATATATACATAATACAAATAAATACTGAAGTTGAGAGTCATGTAAACAATACAACGAATTAATCATAAATCCAGAAGATACTGGTCTCAAAGGTCATGTAAAAAAATACAAAGAATTATCCTTAAATCCAGATATTAATATCAAAAGCTATGTAACTAATACAACGAATTAATCTTATATTCAGATATTGATGTTCAAGGCCATGTAAACAATACAAAAATTAATCTTCAATTCAGATATTAATGTCAAAAGTCATTTGAACAATACAACAAATTAATATTCAATCTAAATGCTGATAATAAACAGCAGGATATATAAACAATACAATTATATTATATTAAATCTAGATACTGATTTTAAAAACCATGCAAACAATGTAACAGATTAATATTAAATCTAGATACTGATGTCAAAGTCAGTCATGTAAATAATACAACGAATTAATTTTAAATCTAGGTACTGATGTCAAAGTCAGTCATGTAAATAATACAACGAATTAATTTTAAATCTAGGTACTGATGTTGTTGTTTCTTCAAAATGTTAAAATAAACTGATTTGTTAAAGTGAAAAGCCTATTTCCGCCTATACTTTAAAAACAGTGAAACTTCTACTAACCTACTTTAGTTTGTAAATTAATACCACGAAAATTCTGTCATGACAATATATATTATCAATAATATCTAGTTAACATAAGTGAGAATGTCACGGTATTTCATACAACAATACAGAGCAAAGGTAACATTAGCGAAATATTTACGGTGTATACTGTCTACCTAAAAAAAGCCAAAGCAATAAATTACTGCAAAATGATGGGGAATTATTCATCGAAATTACTACATATTTTATTAAGACGTATAATTAATTACAGGGGCTAGGCGTGGCCCGGTGTTTAGCGTGCCGCGAAATGGATTCGAAGGTCCAAAGTCCGAGCCGCAATACTGTTGAACACACTCTGCACTTTCAGCTGTAGGCGCGTTATAAACGTAGTAGTAAATCCCTTCCTTTGATTGTAACGAATTTGTTATTATATATTTATTTT